ATTTGTAACTTATCAGAAGTTATAATAAAACCAAGAGACAAAGCCCCTGCAATACAACTTGTATAAAATAATATTATAGAAGTATTCAATGGTTCGAAAGATACAGATGTATCAATGTAACAAATTTTACTGGCTTGAGAAATTTTCTCATAAATGTGACACATCAGGTTTGTAACTATACAAAGGATAAAAGCTTTTTGTAAATATAAATCATATTCTTGAAGTACTGCATAACTCTTTTTTGTGCTATTGTAATTATTAACCTCCTCTTTAAGTCATTGAAATATCAATAAACTATTCCGCTCTCCTAGGTGGTTATCATGATATCTTTAAAATAAATTTAAAACATAGCCATAGTCTAGATTTTGTGCTTGACCTGCCAAAAGTTGTATAAGTTTCTGGTCACTGCTTGCACACAAATATAAGGTGTTCTCATAAGAATATAAAGCTGTTACAGGTGAGTACCTACTAGCAAAAAGTTCTAAATACTTATTATTAACTTCTTTTTTAACTCATTAAAAACTAAGAGACTTGGCAGAATAAATTACATGATTATAAATAAATTTGATATTAATCTTAAGTAGGTGAGTGGTTTAGAGGCACCAATATTCAAGTTGAAGATATAACATAGCTATATACTCTGTATTTCTGGATCGTAATGAATATGGATTTTTTAATGTAGAATTCTCTTGTTTTTTTTCACTTGTTCACTATGGATGCAATGGCGAAGTTCTTGAAATATAACTTTAGTCCTCTTAATTTGAAATCTTTTAGTTTCTGCCATTATTGTTTTTAATAATTCCTCAAATTCAAAAAACTATTGCCATGTATTATGAATATTATTAATATTTGTAAAAAGGTTTACTTCAAATTGATATATAATGAATCCTTCTGCTATTATAAAATCAGGAAGTTGATTAAGTTCAAAAATGATATAATTATAATTTGATGCCAATATAGTAGTAACATATTCAGATAAAAGCACTTGTATATCATTTAATATATTATTTGATATTTCATTATTTGGCAGCTCTGCTATATTTAAAATCACAATATAGAAAAATTTAATGTCATGTATCTTGTTCACTTTTCATTTGTCTATAGTAAACTTTTTATTTAATTTGTGCCAATAATTTTTTCACAAGCAAAAAATAATTTAAAGATACAAAAATGAAAGATTAATGCAAAAAAAAAAAAAAAATTTATAAAAGAATGAAACATGTATAAAAATATCATAATGTTTTTAAATGTTGAATAAAAATATCAGAGCACCTTCAAATATTACATAAAAATGGCATAATATCTTAAAATATTATATTAAAAAATATTTAATGTCTTAAATTTTACATGAATAACGTGTAGTATAGTTATATTAACTAAATTTGTCTTAGGCTCATAATCGGAGTTCAAATATAATCAGTGTGCAATTAGTAATATAATTTTAATATGTACTATATTGTGCATTTTTAAAAATGGTTATGCACTAA